GTAACTCAAGGCTGAAGGTCAACGGAGACCTTCTCCCCCCTCCGCCGGCCCAGTCCCTACCTGGTTGTAGAGACTGGTTTGGCACTGTTGGACGTCTCGGAGGAAGAGGTGGAAGACGTGAGATTGCACCAGCGCCTCCCGTCGCGTCTCCCAGCTCTGCAGCAGCTTCCCCCAGCCCGCGTCCAGCTTCTGCAGCCACTGCTGCAAGGAGAGGTAGGGCACCTCCGTCTCCTCCAAGGCCAAGAGGTCGCTGGCCGCTTGGATCTTGGCGTAGTCCTCCTCGTAGCCGTTGATCTCCTCCTTGAGGGCCGCGTGTTGGTTGAGCAACCTCTCCGCTTGGCTCAAGTTATCCGGCAGCTCCTGGGAGGCCACGGCCGCTTGCGTCTTCACCAACCAACCCAAGAAGTTGTCCAGATCTTGGATGAACTCTTGCAAGCGCCCGGCGATGGTCAAGGAGTCCTCGCAACCTTGCAACGCCCTCTTGAGGGCCTCCCACTCCTCGCTGATCTGCTCGAAGGGCAGCAGGATCTCCAGGGCTCTCCCCGGGTGGGAGGCGGCCAAGGCTTCGCCTTCCCGTTGCAGCTCCACCAACCGAGGTTCCAAAACCACCAGAGCCGCCTCCATGGTGGAGAGGCGGCGTTGCAAAGCCAACACTCCCCCCAGGTCGCCGCCGCCCGCTTGGGTGGCTTCGATGGCTTTGCGCTTCTCCCGCACCTGCGCCTTCATCTCGCTGCACTCCAGCAGGTAGTTCTGGATCTTCAGGACGGAGCTGAGTTGACCCTTCTTGCGCTCCACCAGTTCCACCACCCGGTTCCACCTGGGGATGGGGACGGAGGTGGGACCAGACCAGGACGGGGCCCTCAACCACCGCGGCCACCAGGATGGAAGGCCACCTTGGGCATCACCGCTGCTTGCGACGGGCTTGGCCCACGGCACTGGAGAGCTCGACCCCGTAAGGACGTCCCACCAGGCTGGGACAACCCCGGGGCTGGGGCCTACAAGCGGCCCCACAGCTCGGACCCTCCCCAAAGAGCCCCCAAGCAGGATGAGGTCCATCTCGGGTGTTGTGGACCCTCAGGACGGGCTTGGCCCACGGCACTGGAGAGTTTGCCTCCATGGGGATGTCCCACCAGGCTAGGACAACCATGGGGCTGGGGCCTACAAGCAGCCCCACAGCTCCTTCCCCCCACCAAGAAGCCCCCAAGCACGGGGAGGTCCATCTCGGGTGTTGTTGACCCCCAGGATGGGCTTGGCCCACGGCACTGGAGAGCTGGACCCCATAAAGACGTCCCACCAGGCTGGCAGAACCTCAGGGCTGGGGCCTACAAGCAGCCCCACAGCTCGTTGCCCCCACCAAGGAGCCCCCCAAGCATGGGGAGATCCATCTTGAGCATTGTGGACCCCCAGGATGGGCTTGGCCCACGGCACTGGAGAGCTTGGCTCCATGGGGACGTCCACCAGGCTGCCAGAACCTCAGGGTTGGGGCCTACAAGCAGCCCCACAGCTCGTTGCCCTCCCCAAGGAGCCCCCCAAGCATGGGGAGATCCATCTTGGGCGTTGTGGACCCCCAGGACGGGTCTACAAACAGCCCCACAGCTCGTTCCCCCCCCAAGGAGCCCCCCCAGGCAGGATTGGCCATCACAGACCCCCGGGATGGACTTGGCCCCACAAGTTCGGCCCCCTCCCCACCCCCGTACCTGCTGTTGAGGTGGTCCTGGCAGGAGCGGACCTCCTCCGAGCTGGGGTGCCCCCCGTCCACCAACTGCTGCACCACCTGGTTGACATCCAAGATCCGTCCCATGACGCTGTTCATCTCCTGGTCCAAACTCTCGAACCTGGAGAGGAGACGCGAGCGGTGGGGTCCACCGCCGACCCACACCACCGGCCCCGTTCCCAACCGCCCCACACGTACCTATGCTGGACCACCTCCACCTCATCCAGCTCCTCCGGCACCTCCATCCTCTCCAACCACTGCTCCTTCTCGTCCACCCACACCTCGCAGGCGTGCACCTCGCTGAACATCCGGTAGACGGCCAAAGCGTCCTGCAACCACTGCTGCCGCAACACGGCCACCTCGGCCACCTCCCCGTAGAGCTGCTCCACCTCCACCACCCGGATCTGCACGTCCACCCCTTGACGGTGTTCGGGCGCCAGAAGAGCCAACTGCTTCCGGAGGGCCAACACGGCCGCCCGGTGCTTCTCCACCTCTTCCACCACCGCCCGGTGCTTCCGTAGAAGAGCTTGGGTGGAATAGTCGTCGTGGCCAAAGTCGTCGCTGGAGACGATGCGGTAGGTGTCCTGCAACCAGGCCACCAAGTCGTCCGTCTCGGCGCTGAACTGGAAGAAGTTGAGGGCCTCCTGCAACCGCTGTTGGTGTAACCCCGTCACCTCCTCCAGCTTCTTCCAGCGGAGGCGGACCTCCCGCATCTTCTCCTGGATGCCGCCGGGGCTGAAGCGTTTCTTGGCCAAGATCTGCTCGCCCCTCTTCATGGTCTGGTGCAACAGCGCCCGGCGGCTGCCCAGTTCGCCCAACATGCTCTTGTGTTTGTTGGTCAAGGTCAAGACGCTGCTCAGGTCCCGGCCACACGTCTTGGCCGCCAGGATCTGCTCCTTCTCGCGGATCCAGGCCTCGGCCTCCTCCATCTCCTGGAAGAAGGCCCAAAGCTGGCGGGAGTCCTCCAGCTCCTTGCGCCTCTTGCTGGCCAGTTCTCCCAGTTCCTCCAGGCACGTCTGGACGTGGTTGACCCGGTTGCAGATGATCTGGGGGTCGCAGGGTTGGTAACCTTGGACCAAGAGAGCCGAATCTTAGCGGAGGTGGTCTCCAGCCCCCTGAAGACCTCCCTCGACCCCTCCCGAGGCCAAACATCTCCCGGTCCTCGTGGTGGCCCCCCGTTACCCTCCAGCTCGGAGAACTTGAGCGCGGCGGCGTTGAGCGCCTGCACCCGCTCCGTTTGGGCGGAGATGTCGGCCTCCAGCAGCCCGTGCTTCTGCAGCAGGTCCTCAACCTCCAGAAGATGTTTCCCCAAATCCTTGGAGAGCAGCAGCACCTGCGGAAGGCCACGTCTTGGCCGCCAGGATCTGCTCCTTCTCGCGGATCCAGGCCTCGGCCTCCTCCATCTCCTGGAAGAAGGCCCAAAGCTGGCGGGAGTCCTCCAGCTCCTTGCGCCTCTTGCTGGCCAGTTCTCCCAGTTCCTCCAGGCACGTCTGGACGTGGTTGACCCGGTTGCAGATGATCTGGGGGTCGCAGGGTTGGTAACCTTGGACCAAGAGAGCCGAATCTTAGCGGAGGTGGTCTCCAGCCCCCTGAAGACCTCCCTCGACCCCTCCCGAGGCCAAACATCTCCCGGTCCTCGTGGTGGCCCCCCGTTACCCTCCAGCTCGGAGAACTTGAGCGCGGCGGCGTTGAGCGCCTGCACCCGCTCCGTTTGGGCGGAGATGTCGGCCTCCAGCAGCCCGTGCTTCTGCAGCAGGTCCTCAACCTCCAGAAGATGTTTCCCCAAATCCTTGGAGAGCAGCAGCACCTGCGGAAGGCACCCGAGGGCTCCGCACCTTCCCGACGTGGCCTCCGTGGGGATAAGCGGTACCCGCCGCGTCCCCCGGCTCTACCTGCATCTCCTCCATCCAGTCAATCATGTAGACCATCTCCTGGAAGATCTTCTGGAGGGCCAGGTTCTGCTCCAGACGGGCCCGGCGGGCGCAGACCAGTTCGGTCAACAGCCCCCACTGCCGAAGGATGTTGTCCTTCTGGGCGCTGATGCGTTTGGTGTCGTAGTAGCCCTCGGACTCCATCTCCAGGGCCAGCTCCACCACCACCTGGATGCGCTCTTGGTAGGAGGAGATGTCGGCCTCGATGGCCTCGTGCTTCTTCATGGCGGCCTCCACCGCTGGCAGGTCGTAGCCAAAGTTGTCCTGACGTAGGGGGAGATGCCCTCAGGTAGGGCGGAACCCTCCCCGGCCGAGCCAGGAGATCCCACCACCCGACCGTTGATGTCCTCAACCCTACCCAAGCCATGGAGAAGACCCCAAACATCCTGCCCCCGAGGGCGGAGGTCCCCACTGGAGTCCCCCCTCCCACCCCATCCCACCTGCGAGACCAAGCGTTGGTTCTCGTTCAGCCACGTCTCCCTCATGACGGCCTTGTGGTCGAAACGTTGGGCCAACAGCTCCAACTTCTCCTGCCGGATCAGCTCGTTGCGCAACGCCACCTCCCGCTCGTGCTCCGCCTTCTCCAAACAGGTCCAAGCCTGAAGAGGGGGTGGGAGGGGGAGATGAAGCTCACCGAGGGGGTCCTCAGCCCTTCTCAGGGGGTCCCCCGAGGACGAAGAGGTCACCTCCATCCCACCAGCACCTTATTGATGTCGGAGATGCTCTTGCCCTCGCTGGGGACGTAGAGCTTGCGGTTGGTGGCCCGTAGCTTGCTCTGGATGGTGAAGAGGAGGACCTCCAGGTTGCCCTTCTCTTGGAACCTGCGAAGGGTGAGCGGCGCCAGGCTGAGGATACCACCACCGTCCGGCCGTGGTGGTCCTCCCCCGTCCCAGGAGGCGCTCACTTGACGGGTTTCTCCAAGGTGCAGAAGGCGGTGAAGGCCTGGAGCTGCTGCTGGACGCCCGTCAGGGAGTTGGCGAACTTCTGGTTGCCGATGAGGGCGACGGTGTGGTGGATCCAGGCCAGCAGCTCGGCCGCCAGCGCCTCGTACCGCTGGATGATGGCCTCGATCTCCATGGCCTGGTCCAGAACCTGGCGGGGGAGAAGGGGTGGGGTGGGTCGCCGGCACGGCTGCGTCCCGCAGATGACCGCTGGAGCGACCATGGGTGGTTGGAGGTGCCACCACCTTGGCCCGGTCCCGCCAGGGAGCAGCGCGGCCCTCTGTCCTTCCTGGTGGTCAGTGAAGTGAGGGGTGGGACATCCCGTGGAGCAAAGGGGGGACATCCCGTGGAGCCAGAAATGGGACATCCCATGGACCAAAGGATGGGACATCTCATGGAGCAAAGGATGGGACATCCCGTGGAGCAAAGGGTGGGACATCTCATGGAGCAAAGGGTGGGACATCCCTTGGACCAAAGGATGGGACATCCCATGGAGCAAAGGGGGGGACATTCCGTGGACCAAAGGATGGAGCACCCCATGGAGCCAGAGATGGGACATCCCATGGAGCAAAGGATGGGACATTCCATGGAGCAAAGGGTGGGACAATTCATGGAGCAAAGGTTGGGACATCTCATGGACCAAAGGATGGGGAACCCCATGGAATTAAGGATGGGACATCCCGTGGAGCAAAGGGTGGGACATCCCATGGTGCAAGGAATGGGGCACCCAACGGAATTAAGGATGGGACATCTCATGGAGCAAAAGATGGGACATCCCGTGGACCAAAGGATGGGGCGCCCCACGGAGCCGCAGGGTGTGGGCCGAACCCCACCTTCCCGATGCGCTTCCCCTCCACAGCCAGCGCCTTCATCTTGGAGAAGTAGTGGTAGAAGGACACCACGTAGGTGATGATGGACTTCTCGTCGGGGTCCTCCATGTTGACGTCTGGTGGGCGGTGATGCGTCGGTCCCGGGGCCCACCCGGTTCCCCGCAGTCCCCGTCCCCCCCCATGACCACCACCCCTGGACCAGCAAAGCCCATCCCCAACCCCGGTTTGCTCCCCTCAACCTCGAGACTCCCCCCAAAGTCCTCTGAGGTGGAAATTGAAGACGGGAGCGATTCACCACATGGGTGGAGACCCCCAACTCCGCGTGGACGGACGGACAGATGGACGGACGGACC